AATATTGCCATCACCACCCTGAAAAATTCCATCTTCTTCAAGAAAACATTTCTCCCTACATATGAAAAAGTTCCATCTGTAAGAATGAATCATAAGGGGGAGGGGGGAGTCTAATTAGAATAGCCTGCATAAATATTATATTCTAGTCCCGGAATTAACAGACCCTTTCAAGCTTGAGCTACTTTTTTGTGCTGTGCCTGAGAATTCCTAAAGGGGTTGAGAAGCAGCCACATTAATTATAGGGGAAAGGAATGTTTGTTAAAACTCTTCAGAGACTTTGTGGATTAAGTAGAATGATGATATGAATGGGCTAGGAAACATAAGAGCTCATTACTGAAAACTGTAAAAGAGAAAAAGAAGGAAAATTCAAATGAACAAATGCTAGTTCTGTAGCTGTAAAGTTTTAATCCTCTGGAACAATCTGATTTTGACCTGTTAGGGAGGACATTAAAACATGATTTTTTACCAAACCAAGTACTGAGTACATATGCATGCTTATACTTTTCAGAGGTCTAATATTGTTCTACGTACAATCCTTGTTTTATTGATTTCATGTAATATTCTAATTTTCTGAGATTGTGAATTTGGGGTTTTCATGAGCTGTAAGCCATAATCATCAACATTATGACAAATCAAGGCTTGAACTATCTCGCTTTGCATGTAATGAGTCTATCTCATATATTAGTTTCATCTTTTCAGTTGCATTACTGAAATAAATGAACTTTTGCACGATATTCTAATTTTTCGAGTTTCACCTGTAAATTCATAGTCCAATTTTAGAATTTTCCTGAGTAATCTCCTATAAAATTCTTCTTGTTTTTTGTTTGGTGCATAGAATGTTATCAAAAGTATTTCTTTAAGGTTCATTCTTATTTCCACCATCAGAATCCTGCCTTCTTCATCCTCAAAGAGTAGTTTAGGTTCTAATTTTTCTTTAATGTACAGAGCTACTCCTCTTTTGCTTTGTTGTATCAATGAAGTAAATAAGACTCCTAATTTTGAATATTCTAATAATTTTATATGTTGTTTTCTAATATGTACTTCTTGTAAACATATAATGTTCATTTTCAAACTATTTAATTTATTCAAGGTTCTGTTTCTTTTTGTCACCACATTCAATCCATTTACATTTATTGTTATTGCTTTTATTTCTTCTTCCATGTTTTACTTGTTACTAGTTTTTAACTTCATTGCCCTTGTCTCTTTTTGTTCCTTTGGGTCCTTTGATCTTGCTCCTTCTCTTAGTGCTCTATCTTCCTTCTCCTTTACAGTTTCTTCTTTATCCTTCCCTTCATCTTTTTTCTTTATTTCTCCTATTGCTCCCAAATCTTCTTCTAATGGTCCACAAAATCGTTCATAAAATAGTTTCGCTTTTTCAATAGAATCTAGTCTATGTCTTTGTTCTTGCCATGTCACCAAGATTCCTTCAGGTATTAACCATCTAAAACTCACTCCTTTAGATATTTTTTTTTTGTTAAAAACTGGTATTCTCTCCTCAAATCCCTAACACTTCTAGATATTTGTCTCAATACCATAATTTCTTTATCTTTGTATTTCAATGCTGTATTCTGTGCTGATTGTAATAGCTCTGTTTTCACTGCCTTCTTTGTGAATTTTACATGTACTTCTCTCGGTAATTTATTTCTCATTGCATATCTTGTGTATACTCCGAAAGCTTCATCAATCTCATTTTGGATTTTTTCCTTAGGTTGTTCCAAAACGTCGGTCTATATCTCAGCAATCACCTCAGGTAGATTTTCTCCTTTTTCTTCCTCTATATTTTGAAATCTTAAATAGAAATCGGAATGCTCCATTTCAAACAATATAATTGTTTTTTTCTTGCAATTTGTCAGCTGACACAATTTTTCTTCTAATTCCTCAACTTTCTTTTCTGTAATTTTCCGCTTTTTCTTCTACTTTTTCAATTCTCTCTTCATTTTTCCCAATCATATTTTTCATTTGTTTTAAATCCTGTTTCAGATCATTGTGAAGCGATTGTATCAATTTTTTTAACTCCATTGTCTCTGAGGTTTTCTGTGTTTCTGTCGATGAGGGGCTTGCTGTTGAATGTAAATGTGATATAAATTTCTTCATTTCCGCTCTTTAGAGTAAGTTTATAATTCACTTATGATTTATTTATAATCCAGATATCTAATCCTCCCCAATGGTTGGATTAGCAAAAATCAAAAATATCAAATAAAATAAAAATTTAAAAATAAAGTAAAAATAAAAAATCCCAATCAACCAACACCCTCAAAAATCAAAAATCCCAATACCCAAACAAAAAAAAAGATAAAAAGATAAAAAAATAAAAATAAAAAAAATAGTTAAGATCCAAGAGTAAACAAGAAAAAATCCAACTGCCAATAATAAAAAATAAAAATATGTTGTACCACCGTGATGCTGGCCACGCCTCTCCTCTAATTTCTTCTGGATCTTGACTTTTGCTTGGCCAAATGATGCTATCTTCACCTCTCCGATTCTTAGAGTACCCACCTTTACTTTTGATTCTAGCTCTCATTACCTGTAATTCACAATAATTTCTCTAAATCAAGGAGATTTTGGAACATTCACATCCAACATTTATTATTTAAAAGTAAAATCCATACAGAAATAGAATTTTAGGAAGGAAAATGCATGCCTTGTAATAAACCCTTGACAGGTTCAGCCACTTTCTGTATGCAATGACAATAGCTATCCAGGATACAGAAAGATGAAAATAGAAGGGAAGCCATTTTGCTGTCATGATTGCCTTCCACGTGCAAAAGGGAAAATTTCAAACCAGAAGGGTAAGAGGGGTCCTGCGCAAGACTATTCAGTCTTCTTAAACGTGGTTCAAAATGCTAATATTTAAACTACAAATAGCTTCTATTCAATGATATTACTTTATAAATAACAAAAGTGGAAGAATATTTCAGAGAATCCAAAAATCAACTTCCAATCTCATTTGTCCTAGATTGTTCCCAACTATGGCTTCTAATTGATGCTAATTTTTTGTTTTCCAAGATAAAGGAACTTGTGTTAACTGGGATGCAGTTGCTGAATTTAGGAGTTTAATTCCATTAAATAATAATAATATACCATATAGTATACATTTTCCTCCTCCTAGTGTAACCATTTTTTTTGCTTTTCAATTTTTTCTCCAAAAAAGGTCTGAATGATAAAATATTCCAATCATGGAGAATATCTGCAAGTCAGGGTTGAAATAGGAGTCATTGGGAGTTTCTAAACTTGGTTGTTTTCTTGGAGAGATTTCATTACCCAAACTCACTAACATCAGTGCTAGTCTAGGACTAACACTGATGATGTTGCCTATTTTGCAAAATGAAACATCTGGAAGAAAACAACCAAGCTCCACCTCTTGCACGTGTCCCATAGGTTCGCCATCATGGCCCTAGACCATCAATCTAAAGGCCATTTCTAACCTGGGACGTGCCGCTTCATCCTAGCACAGGATTGCAGAGTGTATGACCTGCAGACGTTTTTATGTCAGTGATAGATGTTAAGGTTCAATCTGAATCAGAAGTTGACAAAGTTTGAAAAATAGCCTTTAATATTTTTGTTCATGTCTTATTTCTGTTCAAGCATGTGCTTGAGGAAGAAAATCTAGGTAATTTCGCTCACTGAAATTAACTGGGAGCAAGAACTAAGAGATACACTCAATTTATGTTACAGCATTTCTGTCACTCCCAGTTACCATTGTTAGAACAGTCCTGTGAAGTGGCAGCATTCTGTGGTCTTGTAATTTCCATTTGTAACTTCCCACTCACTTTCCCATTGATTTTTCTTCTCAAAGGTTGCATATGACAATTGTATGATTGTGGGACATTGCAGTGTGTAACTTGGCATAGAGCATGGTTACCTAAGGAACCGTTTTCATCCGATTGCCTCTCCTTGTCAGCATTCGAGAACAACCCAACTCCAATTAAAAACTCGGAAACAGGCATTTTCTCAAAGTTCCTATTTATTAGAGTAGGTATACTGGCACATCTGGGAAAACCCAAATCTGTGAGTTCCGGGTTTTCCCTTCTGTATCAACTCACATGATTAGAATGGACAGCATTGTGTTATGCTGCTTTGCCACTTTTTTCCTGGGGTACATTCCATTCAGTGGTGATTTGGGGAGAGATCCTGCCCTGGGCTCCTGTTATGTGGTGTTCTGCTGTATTCATACTGTTTTGGTTCCTCCTCAATACCTAGATGAGTCTGCTATGGAGGTGCATTTATTGGGTCCGAAGAGGTTAGATAAAGGAAGGAAGGAAGGAAGGAAGGAAGGAAGGAAGGAAGGAAGGAAGGATTTAATATTTATAAATAAGTGAATTCCCTAAAGTTATTTCACAATTAAAGAGGAAGAACTGCTCTCAATGATTTCCTATTTCCCATTTTTGCGATCAAAAAGATTAATATCAGCCATAGTGGCGCAGTGGTTAGAATGCTGTACTGAAAGCTAATTCACTGCTCACTCCAGGAGTTTATAAGGTCATGAAATCTGCAACTCTATACTTTGAGGAAACAGAAGATCCCAGTTTAGGAATGATGACAACATTGACAATCTAGACCATATTAAGTCTCTAGGTTAACAAATTACTTGAAAATTATCTGCCAATTCAGAAGAACAAAGGAAAATAAATTGTGAGTTTTGGCTCTCCAAAATATAATGCTGTAGGTAATCAAAAATTCATAGGATTTCTGTCAGCACAAAGATCTTAAACCAATCATGTTATTTAAGAAAAACTTTATCTGCCCCTCTTAGTAGCAATTGTCTTCAAGGGAATGAGAGTTAGTGTCACTTGATAGAACATGTTAGGCATTTCCTAACATGAGACCGGAATTCTCCTCCTTACTATGTGTCAGATATATTTGATAAAAGATGGTGTACATATGTTTTCATTTATTGTACAGATTCCAGGTTCAACAAACTCCAGCATGTAACAATACCTGAAAGTTGTGCTCTAATAGGGAGAAACTTAAAATGAATAATGAGCAGATTAAACTCCATATTCAGATTTATTTCTTTATTAAACGTCCCTTTGTGTTTAAATCAGGTCTCAAAATAATGATGTAGCATTTGGGGGAAAATATGCAGCCCAGTAATCCAGCTGCAGAAGCCAAAATGGAGAAAATCTCCACAGCCACCATATATTTGCCCTTCGTACTCAAGTAGGTTGGAACAAATGATATCCAGACACTACAGAAGACCAACATGCTAAAGGTGATAAATTTGGCTTCATTAAAGCTGTCAGGTAACTTCCTGGCAAAAAAGGCCACTGTGAAGCTAATAGAAGCCAAGAAGCCCATAAAGCCAAGGACAAGGTAAAACATTGTGGCTGAACCTTCATTACATTCCAGGACAATTTCTTCAGCCATGGAATGCATGTCAGAATCTGGGAATGGGGGAGAAATTGCCAGCCACACTAAACAGATCAAGAGTTGAGTCAAGGAGCAAGAAAGGACAATAGAAATAGCCATCCTTTTCCCCACCCATTTCTGCATTTTGGAGCCAGGCTTAGTAGCCATGAAAGCAAGAACAACTATGGTTGTTTTACCCAAAATACAAGAAAGGGCTATGGAGAAAAAGATGCCAAAAGCAGTTTGTCGCGTGAAACATTTCACTTTGTCAGGTTGCCCAATGAAGAGGAAAGCACAAAGGAAGGAGAGCAGAAGGGCAATGAGAAGAGTGTAAATGAGGTTCCTGTTGTTGGCTTTGACGACTGGAGTATCCCACTTTTTAATGAAGATTCCCAGCACCACAATGGTGATGACAGAAAAGAAAAGACTAACAGTGGTCAAGATGAGTCCCAGTGGATCATTGTAAGACAGGAAGGTTATTTCTTTTAGAATGCAAAGAGTTTGAGCCTTGTTTGTATATCGATCTTCTGGACATTGGAAGCAATCAACTGCATCTGGAAAAAAAAACATCATGGCCAATTTCAAGAAATACTCAGATAGTGGGACTGAGAGTTAATTAACTGGGTTTATTTGTTTATTTCGAAAATGTAGATGGCTGCCCATTCATCCTCAGTGACTCTGGGCAGTTTATAGACAATCAAAAGTCTAATAGAAATGAATTAAAAACAGTAACCCACATACCACATACATCAAATGAGCCTCTTGAAGGGCTCCATCCTACTCTGGGTTCCCCAGATCTGTTGGCAGAACCATGTTTTAAGGGAATTTCAAATGAGTATCAAACTGGGGGCCAGTCTCATCTCTGTGTGGATGAACTTTCAATGGGAGGGGACCATCACGGAAAAGGCCCTTTTTCTCATTTCCACCAGATGTACTTTCTTAGTACATGGATACATTTAATTAAATAATCCCTGTTTATTTTTAGTGCCTTTTTGTAAATATGCCAGATCTTCCGAGATTTATTTATTGCTTGGTTGCATGGACTCTCTTATTGTAAAATCTAATAATGAATTGAATAACAATATTTTTATCATTAAGGTATTTCCTAAACAAAGTCAAAAAACATGTTTCGTTTTTGGAGGAGGGGGGAAATATATATTTCATAGTATTTTATTTTAGGAATTAAGCTCCTAAAATCAGCAAATGGATCCCAGTTTTATCTTTTTCCACTTTTACACACACATATCAACACAAGGCCTGCCGTCTTAAAAAATAGGCATTAATCAGAAGTCATAATTTGGGGGAAAAAATTAGAACAAACCAAATTGGATATTTATTTTTGGATGCTCTGAAATATCTTTTCACTTTTAGTATTTATGTAGCAATATCATTGACTTGGTCACCAGATTAGACAATTACAGGAGGTTTTAAATATTAGCATTTTGAATCACAGTTAAAAAGACTGAATAACTTAGTCTTGCACAAGACAACTCTTACCCATCTGGTTTGAAATTTTCCCTTTTGCACATGGAAGGCAATTGTAACAGCAAAATGGCTTCCCTTCTATTTTCATCTTCCTGTAGCCTGGACAACAACTGTCATTGCACAAAGAAAGAGGTTGAACCTATCAAGAAATGAAAGCAACATTTACTACAACTTGTTACTACAACATCCACCCACCCACCCACCCACCCATCCAGCCACCCACCCACCCACCCACCATGCAACCATGCAACCAGTACAGTTTTGATTTTTGTATTCAGCATTTCATTATTCCTTGATTGATTCATTTTCTTTTAAAGCATCATTTCATCATTCTACACCTGAATGCTACCTACCCATTGTTCCTTCATCTTTGCAGTTTTCAACCAGACAACTTGAAGGATAAGATCAATTCAAATTTCTAATGTCAAAAGCAAGAAGGGAAGGGAAACAATGTACAGATAGTCCTCAACCTACAACGGTTCATTCAAAAAATTCTATTTAGGTGTAGAATTTACTTTTAATAATAAATTTAAGATATGGGTGTCCCAATATCTCTTTGTTTAAAAGCAATTACAGTCAATGAATGGAGATATTACAGGGAAGGTGAGTTAGAATCAAACCCAAAGGCAGAAAAAAGCCCCCCTCATTTGTGATCTTATTCAGGAGGGGGGAGCGGACCTGGCAGGTATCACGGAGACCTGGTTGGGCCATGAGGGGGGAGTTCCCCTCGTGGAGATGTGCCCATCAGGCTTCCGTGCATTTCATCAGCCGAGAGCTCAGGGCAGAGGCAGGGGGGTGGCGGTCATTCTAAAAGAAGGTCTTGATCCGAGGGAGACCACTGTACCTCAGATAGCCGGATGTGAGTTCCTTTTTGTGAAGTGGGGTCGTGGGGTGCAGATGGGTCTGTTGATCATGTACCTGGCTCCCTGCCACATGGCAACGACCCTGCCCGAGCTCCTCAATGTTATAGCCGAGGTGGCGGCTGATACCCCCAGACTTGTGGTCATGGGGGATTTCAACCTGCCATCCATCGGTGAAACATCTGAGGTAGCTCGGGAGTTCATGGCTTTCATGACGGCCATGGACCTGACCCAAGTAATTCACGGCCCTACTCATATGGGGGGACACACTCTGGACTTAGTTTTTATCTCTGGTCAGTGGTTGAGTGGCCTTGATATAGGGGATGTAGATATTGAACCCTTGTCATGGTCTGACCACTCGCTCCTTCGACTTGACTTTCTGACTGCCGTACCCCATCGCAGGGAGGCGGAACCGACCAGGTAGTTCCGCCCCAGGCGCCTGATGGACCCTGATAGGTTCCAGATGGAGCTTGGGCCATTCGCTGAGACTCTAGCTCATGACTCGGCTGATGACCTGGTGGCCACCTGGGATAGGGCGGCTGCCGGGGCTTTGGACCGGGTCGTGCCTTTGCGGCCTCTGACCCGGCACCGAACTCACTTAGCTCCTTGGTTCTCCGAGGAGCTGAGGGAGATGAAGCGCCGGAAAAGACACCTAGAGAGCGGTTGGAGGGCCAGTCGTTCCGAGTCTGACTTGACACTGGTAAGGTCTCATATTAAGACCTACCTAGTGGTGATATAAGCGGCGAAATCTAGCTATTTTGCCGCTCTTATCGCATCATCAGATAACCGCCCAGCCGCCCTGTTTAGGGTGACCCGCTCCCTCCTCCATCTGGGAGCACGGGAGGACCCCTTGCAGGGCCGAGCTGAGGATTTTGTACAGTATCTGGATGATAAAATAACTCAGATTCGGGAAGACTTGGCCGCCGACTGGGTTAGTTCAGACGAGATGACTGAGGCAGGTCTTGAGAGTGTTATCTGGGAGGAGTTCGATCCTGTGGCTCCCGAGGACGTGGACAGGATCTTGGGACGACTGAACGCAACCACATGTTTATTGGACCCGTGTCCCTCCTGGTTGGTGCTGGCTTCCCGGGAGGTTACACGAGGCTGGCTCCAGGGGATTATTAACGCTTCTTTGAGCGAGGGTGTCCTGCTGGCCACCTTGAAAGAGGCGGTGGTGAGGCCTCTCCTCAAGAAGCCATCCCTGGATCCGGCTGTTTTGGCTAACTATCATCCAGTCTCCAACCTTCGCTTTATTGCGAAGGTTGTTGAGAGTGTGGTGGCGCGACAGCTTCTCCAGTACCTGGATGAAGCTGTCTATCTGGATCCGCTCCAGTCCGGCTTCAGACCTGGGTACAGCACGGAAACGGCATTGGTCGCGTTGGTGGATGATCTCTGGAGGGCCCAGGATAGGGGTTATTCCTCTATCCTGGTTCTATTAGACCTCTCAGCGGCTTTTGATACCATCGACCATGGTATCATGTTGCGCCGGCTGGAGGGACTGGGAGTGGGGGGCACCGTTCTGCGGTGGTTCTCCTCCTATCTCTCCGACCGGTCGCAATCTGTGTTGACAGGGGGCAGCGGTCTACCCCAAGGCGCCTTGTTTGTGGGGTGCCGCAAGGGTCGGTCCTCTCGCCCCTCCTGTTCAACAATTATGTGAAGGTGCTGGGTGAGATCATCCGTGGTTTTGGGGTGGAGTTCCATCAGTACGCTGATGATACTCAGCTGTACATTTCCACCCCAGACCATCCCAATGATGCCTTGGAAGTGATGTCCCAGTGCCTGGAGGCCGTGCAGGTCTGGATGGGGAGAAACAGGCTTCGACTCAACCCTTCCAAGACTGAGTGGCTGTGGTTGCCGGCGTCCCGGTATAGCCAGCTGACGCCATCGCTGGTTATTGGGGGCGAATCATTGGCCCCCACGGAGAGGGCCCGCAACTTGGGTGTCCTCCTGGATGCGCGGCTGTCTTTAGAGGGGCATATGACAGCTGTGGCCAGGGGGGCTTTTTGTCAGGTTCGCCTGATACGCCAGTTGCGCCCCTTTCTGGACCGGGACTCCCTATGCACGGTCACTCAAGCACTCGTCACTTCTCGTCTGGACTATTGTAACGCTCTCTACATGGGGCTCCCCTTGGGGTACACCTGGAGGCTCCAATTGGTGCAGAATGCGGCTGCGCGGGGGATTATGGGAGCGACGGGGCGCTCCCATGTAACTCCTCTCCTGCGCGAGCTGCATTGGCTTCCGGTGGACTTCCGGGTGCACTTCAAGGTGTTGGTGATCACCTTTAAAGCGCTCCATGGCTTAGGGCCAGGGTACTTACGGGACCACCTTCTGCCACCAATAGCCTCCCACCGGCCGGTTCGCTCCCACAGAGAGGGCCTCCTCAGGGTGCCGTCGGCCAGACAATGCCGGCTGACGACCCCCAGGAGGAGAGCCTTCTCTGTGGTGGCACCTACCCTTTGGAACAATCTACTCCCAGAGATACGAGTGATCTCCGACCTCCGGATTTTTCATCGGGCCCTAAAAACTTATTTTTTTCAGTTAGCCGGTCTGTCCTGATTTTAGGGTTAGTTTTAAAATTTTAATATTTATTTTAAATTGACAAGTTTTAAATTATGGGCCAAATTTATAAATTATTTTAACTTTATTTTTTAACCGTGATGTTTGTATAGATGTTTTTTATCTGGCTGTTCACCACTCTGAGTCCGAAAGGAGAAGGGCGGTATAGAAATTCGAATAAATAAAATAAATAAATAAATAAAAACTAAGAATTGGGCACAGGAAGATAGCATCATTTGATTAGGAGAAAGTCAAGATTCAGAAGAGCTATTTCTCATGCATCCATTAGCTGGAAATAGAGATGAATATTTTCCCCCTAACTTTCAATATCTTTCTCTTCTTTGGCCACAGCACTGATCAGGTGTTCTATCTGAACCAGGGTTAATATGATCATTGATATGGAATTCCCCATTTCTTTTTTCCCATCCATGCCAGTCAATAAGCACTTTCTTTTGTCTTCAAAACACTGATGAAAATAAAATATAATAAAACAACAGTTTTATAATTCTTCATTCCATTTGGGGCACAAAAGGGAACTTCACAGAATCTCCATCCACCCACCCACCCACCAACCCATCCAACCATCCAACCAACCATCCAATCATTACAGTTTTGATTTTTGTATTCAGCATTTCATTATTCCTTGATTGATTCATTTTGTTTTAAAGCATCATTTCATCATTCTACTCCTGAATGCTACCTACCCATTGTTTCTTCATCTTTGCAGTTTTCAACCAGACAACTTGAAGGATAAGATTGATTCAAATTTATAATGTCAAAAGCAAGAATGGAAGAGAAACAATGTACAGATAGTCCTCAATTTACAACAGTTCATTTAATGGCCATTCAAAGTTACAATGGCACTGAAAAAAGAGACTTATGGCCATTTTTCAAAGTTACAATCCTTTGTAGCATCCCATGACCATATGTTAAAAATTTAGATGCTTGGCAACTGGTTTATACTTATGACCATTGCTCTGTCCCAAGGTCATGTGATCACCTTTTGCAATCTTTTGACAAGCAAAGTCAAGGGGAAGCCAGATTCACTTAACAACCAAATTACTAACTTATCAATTGCTGTGATACACTTAATGACTCTGGCAAGGAAGGTCATAAAATGGGGTAAAAGTCACTTATCAAATGTCTCACCTAATCACAGAAATTTTGGGTTCAATTGTGGTAGTAAATTGAGGACTACTTGTCCACAGGTTGAAATCTGAGCAGGAAATACCTGGTTAAAAATGGCAGGCCAGATGATGTCTTGTGCAGAAATGGTAAACCGCTTATCTGGAGAAGCTGTTGGGTCAATTTTTCCAACTTTGACTTTAGCAAAGGTCTCATTTGGGAATATGACCCAGTTGATAATGTCAAATCCCATCTCTAGATCCCCATTTTCATTAAAGGAAATTTTCTCTCCTGCAGTGTTATTAAATGAGATGGTTCTCAAATAGTGATGGAACTAAACAGGAGCAAAGAGTGACAATTAGTGGAAAAAGAAAGAAACAGAAAAAAGGGGGTAAGTGGGAAAGAAAGAAAAAAAGAAAAAAAAGAAACCAACAAAAGAAAGAAAAGAAAGAAAAAAGAAAGTGAAAGAAGGAAGGAAGGAAAGAAAGAAAAAGAAAAAAGAAGGAGAAAAAAGAGAAAGAGGGTGGAAGGAAGGAAGGAAGGAAGGAAGGAAGGAAGGAAGGAAGGAAGGAAGGAAGGAAGGAAGATTGTATTCAGATCAGGATATTGATTTCATAGGATGTGGTTCATTAATACAATTATTGTTCTCCACCATAGACATTTTCAACTTCTGCCAATCATGCCAGTGCTGCTGCATCACAACTTTTCTTTCCTATTGTAGCATTTTCATCTATTCACAATCAAAAAAGTTTCTCTAAGTCACTAAATGATGGGGAAAATATTTTGGCAGGGACTGAAAATTATCCCCAATGCAGTCAAATGAGAAGACTCCAGTGTTCTCATTGACTGCATTACATAACAGCTCATTGCATCAGACAGAAGAGCAGTGAGAAATGTTCATTCATTTTTTTTACCTGCCATGCTTTTTGAGTCAACAATATTTCTCTCCCAATTTCTGTCCTTGCTCTGTGTTTGGACTTTGGGGAAAGCAGGGCTTGTAAAGCATGTGCCACACCATAGACTGCATTATAGATGCTGTAACTCTGCCCAGTCAGGATGGTGTCAAACACAGACCTAGGTAGATTCCCCAAGTTCTCTTCTCCAGTGCAAAGCTTCCCAGCATCTTCATCTAAATTATCTTTAGGAAAGGAGCATTCAAAAGCCTGTTCCCAGAACACTCTCATTAAATGGTGTTTCACTTCTGACTTTGGGTTTCTCATCCGAAGGAATTTATCGAATCCAGAAATCTTCTTGGAAAGAACTTCAAAAGTTATAACACCATGGAAGACATCCATACTCCTAATTTTTTGAAAGGGAAGGGATGTAAACTCCATCTGGGCTGGCATTATCCAAACTTTATCTTTTCTTTCGACGGAGATATCTTCAAATTCTATATAATAGGGCAACATTCTAAAAATGACAGTGACATGGTTTTCACAATAAAAGATGATGACATTGGCAGTGCTCTTCATGATAATAATGGACAATTTACCAAAGTCTTTAAATACTGCTATAATATCGTTAGAAAATGTTTCCTTCACCATCTCTTCCATGAAGTCAAAGCAGATACCTTTCTGAGAATACAAAGGAATAGCTTTTTTTACGAATCCCTCTCCACTCTTATCAGATTGGGAAATCAGTCCAATCCATATCCACCTAAAATACAAAAGCAACTGGAGAATACCCATAATCTGTTGATCAACATTTGGGAAAATATGATGAGAGAAGTGATCTTGTATCTTGCCATCTATCAATGGGAAAGATCCATATGTGAGCTAGACATAGGAGAAAAAAGACCATGGTTTCCCAACATGAAATATTGATTTTTTTTTTTTAAAAAAATCTGTCCTTAAGTTATGGTCTTTGTTACAATATTAATATAAGTGTAATCATGTTCAGAAACAATTTCAGAATTTTCAGCTATTATTGTACTAGAAACAGAAAGTTGGATTCCATATAAATGCATTAAGTCAAGTAATGTTATATGGAAAATTGACTACAAATTTTAAGGATTAAATGTGATTGGTCCTGATTAAGGAAGGAAACCCATCCCCATATTTCCCTATTCTTTTATTAATAGGAAATGGAAGAAAAATGGGAACAATGAAGTCGTGATGGTATGGAGATAAAATAGGATGAACAATATAAGAACATGGTTTTGCTTCGATATGCACCATAACCCTCCTCTAGACGTTCTACTCCCCCTCCCCACCTGAAAAGAACTCTGTTCCAACTGCTAATTGCCTTATCTTAATGCTAAGGAGTTACACATTCTACATAAATTTTCAAGCTTTAAATGTCAATGTATCAAGCCCGATCACATAGTTTCACAGTGAAGCACGACTATCCAGCTCTCTAGTAGTTGATATAATCCAATCTGTAGTCCAGGATAAAGAATGACAATAATATCATAGTATTATTTGATATTGCCAGGCTACCCCATTCTTTTACATTTTGCATAATTGTAAAGTTAACCTTTGGTCTTTTATTTAACTAAATCAAACTAATATTGATATATATACCAATAGGCATGGATATAGGTTGCAATTCAATTAGTACTGGAAGAACACAGGGAATTAGTTTTCTCCTTTTCATTTTAGTTATTTCATATTTTGGTAATATAATCTTCCTTTCCATTATGTTTTATCTAAATTCCAGAAACAAGTATGTTACAAGTCAAGTACTTTCCCTCCTTACTTTCCAAAAGGAATAAAAAAAATCCCGTTTCAAAGGTCCAAGGCCGGACCTGGGTAGAACTGAAGGAAGAATGCTCAGGAACCGTCTAGCAAAAGAAAACCTTTAATCAGGCCGGAGCCTCGATACCCAGTGAATGTGAGTGAAATGAGTCTGTTGAAAAGTCAGTGCTGAGAGTTTCCATTTCCACGGATGCTTTATCAGCAAGGGTCCACGCTCTCCGGCTGGTGGACATGCATAGACCTGAGGGACTGCCTGGCCCTGGAGCCCCGCTGGAATTCCTCTCTGGTCCACTCCCTGAGCTTTCACGTGTAGAGGAGGTCTGGGTGTGACACCTATCCTCAACTTCCTATACCCACCTTCCCACCATATCATTGGGCTCCACTTATCTAACAATGCCAACCCATAATGATGGATTTGGTTATTGTTGCCACCACAATGAACTGAATGACTTCCCAATTCTCCCCCATCAATAGCTGTAATGGCTCTGTGACATGGGTTGTCGGGGCCCCGCCCAGCAATGAGCCATCAACCTGCTTGAATCTATCAGGCTTGGCCATCTCCCTCACCTGGAGTCCCAGTGCTGTGGCTACCATCTGACTGACTAGGCATCGGGTACACCCTGAGTCAACCAGAGCCACGTACATCCCTTGCTGACTTGAGTGGGGCCCCACTATGGTTATGGGGACAATGAATGGATGGATAGCTTAGCTTACCATCAGTTCCTCTGGGCCATCATCCTCACTGTCATAGGGCATCAGCTGGTAATTCCCCACCATTATCACCTCTCCTTCCTCTGAAGTCATCACTGAGGCCTCCGCCTGGTGTGCTGTCTCGGAGATTTCAGGGGCCTGCCAGGGCAGTTGTGCTGCCTTTCTGGGGGTGCCGGCCGGTGTCTGCGGAGCCAGAGCCAGGCATCTGGCCACACAGTGTCTCGGTTGGTTGCAACAAAAACAATGTAGCAGCGAGTGAGCGGGTTTAGCCATGGGTCCTGGGCTACTAGGAGCCTGCCAGAAACCACCAGGTGGTCTTTACATAGCCCTCCAGGCCCCAGGGCCCATGTCCCCTTTAGGCTAGAACTCCCGTAGTCCTGTGTCCAAGTAATAACTGCGTGGAATCACTCCTGAAGCCACTGCAGGATTCCCCAGTACAAACAGGCCTGGTATAGATCATGGTTGAAACCCACCCTAAACTGATGGACCAGCAGCCTCTCCAGGCAGGCCCTCAGCAACTCGGAGGAAATCCAGAACATACTGCACGGCTGAGTGGCCCCTCTGCTTTAGTGACTGGAGCTCTCCTTCTGCCCATTGCACACAGGACCCATCTTCAAAGTGTACCTTTAGCACCTCTAAGAAGAGACCTGCATCCACCAACTCCTGGGCATGCTCACTGTGCAAGTCTGCCACTCACTCATCCTTCCCTTCCAACAATGCCATGACTGCCATGACCATCACTCACTCCGATGGGTAGAACCAAGCGTATTGGTCCAGGTGACTAATGACTTGGCTCAGAAACAAGGCCAAGTGGTCAGGGTTTCCGACAATCGATGTCCATAATGGCTGTGGGCCCTAGGCCCCTTGCTGTGGCCAGAACCTCATTGGCCATGTAGGCCCTTGCAGGACCCAATCACAGCACATGCTGGCCCTGCTGAGTCACTTGGAGGTGGGGCTGGACCTGGCCTCCGGCTCTGGGCACCAAGGCTCTCTGCTGTCATAGTCCCCTCACTTGCTACCAGGTGTCCCACTAAATCTCCCAGTGAAGAATTCAGCTCCAAAGCCCCCACCTGCCGGGTATCATGGGTGCGGCTGGATGCTGTGTTGAAATAAAACTTTGGGCTAGCCAGATGGAATCGGGTCTGCAGAGGCAGGGCTGGCTGGGGCCCCAAACACCGCGGCTGCCATGCTACCACCACCTCTGCATCTTTCTCCATGCTCCACTCCCCTTCCTCATCATCTATCAGACCTCTCTCCCACCACTCAGTCAAACATGCTCTGGAGGGGACCAGGGCCCCCAGCCACAGATGAACTGTGCCACCACTCCCCTAGGTGACCTTGCTCCTGGACCGCCTCCGGGACTTGTCAGGCCTCTGATGGCTGCACCACCCTACTGGCTTCACACTCCTTTGGTCTCACTGTCAGCAGAGCACTGTCCCCTGTGACCTCTGGCGTGGGCACCTCCTCCTCCAGGGCCATGTTCCCCACGTCCACCACTAGCACCATCCCTTCTGCCATCAATATTGCTGCTCTCCTACCATCGGCCATAGCAGTGTCCCTCACCGATTGCCAGGAAGCACAACTAGTGAGTGGATGGGACATGGCAAAGCAGGTGGTCAATGCACCCAGAAGTAGCCCAGGCACCTGATGAACAGATTATCAGCACAGCTGGAAGTAGCCACCACTGTAGCTTTGCTTGCCGCTCGCTTCACTCAGCCATCTCTCTCCACACACACACACACACACACACACACACACACACACACACATACACACACAGAGGTATGGCAAACCCCGGACTGGGGTTTGACACCCAGTTCCTGAGCAACCAACATTGTGTGATCTGAAAAGCAACTATTGCTAAAGATTTAGCAATCTTTGGGAAGTGAATTTGAGAGAGGCTAAAGTACTGGCTTTTGTTTAAAGAGACATAAGTCAATAACTTTGGGCATCAATCATCTATAGTCCTACCACATTCAATTTGCCAACAACAGAAAACATGCTAACACATTCTAGCTGATGGAATTGACCATGCCTCCTTGGGAATTATTAATCCATTGATTATTCTGATTTTAGGAGGAGGAGGAAAAATTCTTTTAATATCACAGTATTTTTTTTAGTAAATATCAGCAAGAATATGTCAGAAGCATTGTAGGAAGTCAGCTATTTCTGTTTTAGTTGTGGTCTTTTTCTTAAATACCCTCATGCTTTTGACAGTCCGTTAAAACAGGATGTATTTAACTAATGCGTAGACCATTTTAATTAATTTTATGTGAAGTTTTCATTCATTTGTATTACATCACTTCATTTTTTAATTTAAGTAAGTAAGTAAGTAAGTAAGGAAGTAAGTAAGGAAGGAAGGAAGGAAGGAAGGAAGGAAGGAAATATAAAAATCAATGTAACTATTCCATTACTTAATCAGGTCCATGAATCCTTAATATTATTACTAAAAGATGGTGAGAAAATGTAAAATGTGTAAAATTATTCATCTCTTCTGCAAACACATGGTTTGCTGTTCCTCATTCTTTGGATTGCCACTTTTTTTCCAAACCACAGAAAAATAATAAAAAGAAAAGTTAGTATTTGTTGTATTCTTATAAACATAAATTTGTAAAAGAAAAAATGGGAGGTAGTTTAAGACTTGTTATAGTAACCTTACAATAAAAGAAATATTATGCATGATACCCTGGACAATTTCGGAGGGTTGACATTAATCTTGCAAGTCTGAAACATTTTTCCCTCCCCTGCCTTAACTTCCCAGATAATGGGGAGGGGGTCAATTCAGAGATGCTTTCTCAAATAATACTTCTGGTTTAGGCTCAAATTTCCTATATCAGACTATTTTTATAGGACTGCAGTTGATCCTCCTGCATTTCAAGGTTATTCTTACAGTGTATACTTAGTCCAAGAAAAACAGAAATCTCACCTGGGGCATCTTGTAGACATTCAAGATGTTTGCCATGAAAAAAACCTGAGAGCTAGGTCCTCCAATGACAGATAGTGCCCCGTTCTTGGCATCACACTTATAGTTTGGGATGAATCTGCCCCTTGTTGAGAGAAGCTCCATTGAAGCCAAGTAGATCAAACTCACTGTGAAATAACTGTTAGCGATGTCAGTACCCAGACTCATGTTGGATAATATATGATTATTTTCATTGATCTCCTTGACAGCAAAAACCAAGGCCAGGATATGTTGGTGGTTCTGGAGGAAAAATCTGCAATGAAAGGTATATTGAGTGGATCTAGGCAGGATGTTATGATTCCTTTAATTCATTATAAAACAATTTTCACTAGGAAACAGATAGCTTGCTTGAAGGAAAATAATCATATTAAAACCTATAAGTAATTCTTATTACATATTACATAATTTCTAGTCTTGTATTTTTATCTTCTTCTGGGTTTATTTTATGGTGGGTGCAGGCATGAAATATGTGTTTCAAGTAAACTGTGAGGACAAATCTTATAAATAACTTTTGCTTTTCTAGGATTGTGATAGACATTCAGTGGACTTCCTCATCCCAATAAAAGTTATAGATGTTCCTTTAGGGCCGAGAGGCTCTTAATCTGGGTTCCATGCCTGCTCAACAGCTGTTTGGAAAATAATGCCAAGCGCTACACAGCACAACTGTTCCCTAATATTAAGTGAAAGAATTAAACGATTGATATAGATTTCGCTACAAAAAATAATTTGATAGCACAGCACTAACGAATCATTGAACAGTAAGAAACAAGAAAATCTCAATATGGATTTTGAATAAAAATACCAGTGTGAGAGTCATCATAAGTGTGTTTGTGTATTTATTTGCCAGGTAAGAAATATCAGTCTGATCAATCTATACTGACTTCAGAATGAAGGAACTAAAAGGCAAGAGACCGAGCAAAAAATCTGTGCCACAAATAATAACAATAACTCATTAAATATCGGCAACCTATTTATTAGAGAAAGATATATGGTTTAAGATATGCTACACTTAAGAAAAGAAACCTTTACATGAGCTCATCAACCAGTTCCTCAGATGGATGTCTTGTGAAATCCATATGCTCAAATAGCAGGTAGAACTGAGATATTATCCCAGCTATTATGAAATCTCCTGGCAGAAAATACTTGTGCTGAATAAGGGGAGTTTTCCCCACCGAACATGCTTTAGTAGGCAGAATAAGGCATGTAATTCCTGACAGTGACATTGACAATATTGCCATCACCACCCTGAAAAATTCCATCTTCTTCAAGAAAACATTTCTCCCTACATATGAAAAAGTTCCATCTGTAAGAATGAATCATAAGGGGGAGGGGGGAGTCTAATTAGAATAGTCTGCATAAATATTATATTCTAGTCCCGGAATTAACAGACCCTTTCAAGCTTGAGCTACTTTTTTGTGCTGTGCCTGAGAATTCCTAAAAGAGTTGAGAAGCAGCCACATTAATTATAGGGGAAAGGAAAGTTTGTTAAAACTCCTCGGAGACTTTGTGGATTAAGTAGAATGATGATATTAATGGGCTGGGAAACGTAAGAGCTCATTACTGAAAACTGTAAAAGAGAAAAAGAAGGAAAATTCAAATGAACAAATGCTAGTTCTGTAGCTGTAAAGTTTTAATCCTCTGGAACAATCTGATTTTGACCGGTTAGGGAGGACATTAAAACATGATTTTTCCAAAGAGCCAAAGGGAAATTGGCCCATCATGGTATAGGATCCCAATCACCTTTATTATTCTTTTGAGAGGTCTTTAAGCACTTTGAGTATTGTATTTGTAATGCAATTAAATCATGACATTTCTTTTTAACCTTCCTAATGGAAGCAGGTCTATAAGCCATTCGAACGAAGACAATTGGAGTGTCAGGGCAAGAAGTCAGTAACAAAGATGGGATTCAAAAGTACTAAAAAATTATTTCAAGCTATCTATGAACAAGAATGTGATCTTGTTACTGCCAAGACAATTTGGCCCAAGTTGAAGAGTTAATGGGTCTTCAGTTTGAGGCTGGACTTATGTCTCTTTCATTGGAAAAGGACCCCAGATTGTTTATGCTTTTCACTGCACTCTCACATTAAACGTGGTCGTATCCTACATGGTGTTTGCTTTCCTGACATGGCTGGGAAGCAAAAAGAAATGGGAATCCCATATCAATTATCATGTTAACCCTAGTTGAGACAGAACCCCTGGTCCTTTTGGGGGCAAAAGGAAAGAAAGAAATTGAAATGAAATATATACATCTCTATTTTTAACTAATTTCTTCTAGATCTTTTTTTAAAAGTTTTTTTTATTATTATTTTATACACAAACAAACATTTAATACATCAGTCATTTCTTCCATGTGACATCTCGGTGTTTTCTCCATGACTTCTTCTTTTGTTCTTTCTTCTGTTTTCATTTTCACTTACTCTATTACAACAATTCTCCAAAAGTACAGTATTCTAATTATACCATTTTCTTACATAACTGTTAGTTTGCTTATCTATATCTCTTTTCTAACCAATGGTAAAATTGATCCCATATCTTAAAATATTCTGAATCCTCTCTTTCTTTAATCATCAAAGTTAATCTATTCATTTCTGCACAGTCTAAATTTTTTTAATTACTTCCCCTTCCAGAGTTATTTTCACTATTTTCCAATTTTGTGCAAAAACAATCCTTGCAGCTGTTATTACATGTATAATCAAACAACTATTTTCTTTACTAATTTTTTCTGAGAGGATACCCAATAGGAACAGCTCTGGTTTTAAATCAATGTGTTGTTGTGTCATTTTTTCTAACCATGTCTTAATTTTATTCCAGTAGTTTTTAGCTTCTGGGCATTTCCACCACATGTGATAATAAGATCCTGGTGACTGGTGACATTTCCAACATTTAGCTGATTTATCTTTAAACATTTTTGCCAGTTTCTCAGGGGGCATATGCCATCTATAAAATATTTTATATTGATTTTCTTTATACGCAGTGGACATTGTTAATTTGCAGTTCCTTTCCCATAGCTGTTGCCATTTCTCTAGATCAATTGAATATCCAAAATTCTTTGCCCAAGCTATCATTGTTTCCTTTACTTGTTCGTCCTCTAACTCAATGCCAAGCAAAAAATATAAATTTTTAAAATTAATTTATCCTCTGTTCCTGTGAGTATCCTATCCAACTCTGTTTTTTCTAAGAAAAACCATGTAATTTAACATCTTTTTCATATCTTGTTTGTATTTGCATGTACATATACCAATCCATCTCAATCCCCTGCTCTTTCAGTTCTAGTTTCCCCTTCAATTCCCCCTAATCCATTAATAACTCCTTGTGTCTAACATATTTCTAAAATTAAAAATATTTGGGTGTATTAAAGCTTCCATTGTTTATAACCATATTGGTATTTTCACATAGTATTTGTCTCTAACCTTCTCCCATACCAATAGCAATACTTTTCTTATATAATGTCTATGAAAGTACGTATGTATCTTACTTCTACCATACTATAAGAATGCATGCCATCCCAATTGTAAATCATGTCCTTCCAATGTTAATACTCTTTTATTTCTTAATTCCACCCATTCCTTCATCCAAGTCAATGCTGCTGCCTGGTAATATAGTTCCCAATTTGGCAGTCCAAATCCTCCATGTAATCTCGTGTCCTGTAATATTTTTATACTTATTCTTGCTTTTTTCCCTTGCCATATAAATTTCCTTATTATCTTATTAAGATATTGAAAATAGGCCTTTTCAATTTTTATCGGTACTGTCTGAAATAGAAATAGTAGTCCTGGTAATATATTCATCTTTATTATTGCAATCCTTCCCATAAATGACAGTTGAAGGTTTTTCCATTTCTCCAAGTCTTTCTCAATTTGTTCTTTTAATTTATAATAATTGTCCTCTTTTATCATTGCACACCTTGACGTTAAATATACTCCTAAATATTTAACTTTTTTCACAACTTGTATATCTAATTTCTCTTTTATCTCTCTTTTTTGTTTTTCTGTGATATTTTTCACCAATATTTTTATTTTTTCTGTATTTATTTTTAAGCCAGACACCTTTCCATATCTCTCTATTTGTTCTAATACCATTTGTTTTTCTGAGTGTGTCTCATAATATTCCAACGTATTTAGAATTATGTCATATTGTCTCTAATTTGTTTCTTGGGTAAAAAACCATTTTGGTCCGTATGAATAAATTCATTTAATAGTCTTTTTAACCTATTCGCCATTATTGAAGCAAAAATCTTATAATCTACATTTAATAATGAAATCGGTCTGTCATTTTTTATCAGTTGTAAGTCTGTATCTTCTTAGGTATGAGTGTTACATAAGCCTCCCTCCATGAGTCTGGCATTTTTGCCTTCATTAGAAGTCCATTAAATAATTCCAACATTACATTGCACATCACTTCCTGTAATGTTTTGTATAGCTCTGCTGGTAGACCATCCGGTCCTGGTGTTTCCCATTTTTTGTCTTTTAATTGCTTCTGTTAATTCCATCATTGTTATTCTTTCTTCTAACATTCCCTTGTCTTGTTCAGTTATTTTAGGTAAATCTGAGTTTTCTAAATATTTTGTTATCCCTTCCTCCGAAATTTCCTCTTGGTAATAAAGCTTTTCATAGTATTTTTGAATTATTATCTTCTTTTCATCATTTCCATAGTGTAAATTCTCCTCTTCATCTTGCAAGTGTTTTGTTATTTTCCTCTCCTTCTCTTTTTTTATTTTATATGCTAACCATCTTCCTGGTTTATTTGCACATTCAAAAAAGTTCTGTTTAGATGCTTTTAATTTATTTGCTAAGAATTCTTGTTTGTTTACATTTATTTCGTGCTTTTTCAATTCCATTCGCTTCTTCATTTCATTGTTTTGAATGTCTTTTTGAAATTCTTTCTCCAAACTCTTATATTCCTCTTTCGATTCTTTCTGTTTTTGTCTTTTCCTTTTATTCTTTTTTCCCAAATATGTTATTGCCAGACCCCTAATATATGCTTTCATGGTGTCCCATACGTTCTGTAGTGATGTGTCTTCTTTTTTATTTGTTTAAAAGAAAAACTTTAGTTCTTTTTCCATAAACTGTTGAAAGTCCTTCTCATTTAATATTGTTGCATTCAAAGTCCATCTTGTCTTTTTCTTTTGTCCTTTCCATCTTATTCTCATTGGGTTTTTTATTTGTCTT